GAGGGTGGGAAAGTCGGGTGTGGCTCCAGGAATGCCTGCCGCCCACAGAGAGAGCTGGAGGTCTGTGGGAGCCCAGCAGGAGTTGGCACACTGGGTGACGGGCCGTGGATTAGAAACACATGTCTATCTTATTGACGGACCCTCCTCCTTCGCACTCCCTCCTCGACTGAATATCTGCGGTGCTGTGACCCAAAGTTAATAAACAGCTTGAAAATACATGTGGTCAGAGCTGTCTGCTTGGGTAAATGTTATGAAACACTTACGGACACACATGCACACACAATCAAACACACTTTCAGCACAGAACAAGTGCCATTAACATTGTGTTTCGCAAAATTGTGCTCTCATTTTTGTGTTGTTGTCTCTACAGGAAAAAGGGAAGGAGATTTTTATGGGAAAACTCCCAAAGCAATGAAAAGTGGCCCAACAATATTCCATAAATGCCCCATGAGAAATAGAGAACATAAAAATTAGTCAATGAATTATGAATTTTCCCTGCATTAGTTCATGTTACATTTAAAACACATGTCATCATGTTCGGACACTCACTGTAATGATGCGTGAAGTTCCAAGGAGACTGATTAAAATATTGGCAAATTGACATGCGTGCAGTGCTGCAGATGTTGGAGTATGTGTGAGTGTTTTTGGTTTGCCCTGTGGTGGTTTGAGAAACAGCGTCATGTTTTAGCTCATTAAGTGTGATAAAGTGTCAGATTGAGATACCTTAACAGCTAGTGTGTGTGTGTGTGTACTTGTACATGTTTCTGTTTGTCTTGATAGGTACTTTGAAGCCGTCTAGCATGGCCTGTTAGCCTCCCTTGTCAAAATGTATCACGGTAACCATAGTTTCCACAAAAATATCACAGCTGTGTCTACAATACAAAACTATGTGTAATTCGGTATTAGACATCACAGTCATCAAAATTAAATTAAGCAAAAGTTTGCCATGGGTGTTCTGGTTGGTTGATAGGGTCTTGCAGGAATGTTGCTAGAGTGCAGTTTCTAAGGCGTTCTGGGTGGTTGCTAAAATGTTGCTAGAAGGTTGTCAAGGGTACTCTGGGTGGTTGATAGTGCATTGACTTGCATTTATAAGGTATGGGTAGTTGCTAAAATGTAGCAAGAAGGTTGCTGAGATGTTATTGGTGGTTGCTAGGGTGTTGCTAGGATGTTCTGGGTGGTTGCTAAAATGATGCTAAAAGGTTGCCAAGGGTGTTCTGGGTGGTTGATAGTGGATTACTTTGCATTTGCAAGGTATAGGTGGTTGTTGGAGGTTGCTAGGGTGTTGCTTGGATGTTCTGGGTGGTTGCTAGAATGCCGCTAGAAGGTTAGAAGGTTGATAGGATGTTGCAGGAATATTGCTAGGGTGCAGTTTCTAAGGCGTTCTGGGTGATTGCTAGGGTGTTGCTTTGCAGTTACTAATGTGTTCTGTGTGGTTGCTAGGGTGTTGCAATGCAGTTACTAGTGTGTTCTGGGTGGTTGCTAGGGTGTTGCAATGCAGTTACTAGTGTGTTCTGGGTGGTTGCTAGGGTGTTGCAATGCAGTTAGTAGTGTGTTCTGGGTGGTTGGTTGCTTACTGTCTCAAGTCAAAACAGCAGTGTAAATCATTTTTTTGCTGTTTTAACTGGTGAAAATTGTAAGTGTGGCTGCTTAGAAAAAATGTATCACAATTTGATTTCAGGTATAATTTATTGCACAAATGGTATGAATTACAGATTGAAGAGGTAAAATTATTTAAGCAATAGTAATAGTTAGGCCTGTCTTAGCTGCAGACACATGAAATAGAAAGGTTGTTACTGAAGGTGTTTGTTTTTGTGTAGTATGATTCCCCTGGATGAATTCTGGGTCCGAATCAGAAATCAGTCATTCTTAACAAAGACTCAAAACTTTCCCCGCATGAGTGAGATTCAGCACTTTGAGTTCAGGGCAACCTGACTAGCAAAACAAACAAAGCACATGCCAAGCAGAGTCTGCTCATAAAATCAGCATGGATATTCCACCACGCTCCAAAAGCAGCACAAAAACTCCCAAGATTATTTGGCTTCCCTGTTTTATGATGGCTCTGGTTGTTATTTTAGAGTTCAACCTAAACTGTGAGGGGGTTTAATACAGGGTGTTTCCCACTTTCTCAGCTGAAACACACATACATACACACACAGATTCATTGTTTTTGAGATAGGGTGGGGGGTTGGGGGGGTGTGGAGCTGCTTGCTCAAACATTTCGAGCCTGCCGCAGAAGCTGTGATCTTTTCTGCTGCCTCGTTTTCTGTCTGTCCTTCACAAAGGAGTCACTTGTGTTGTGCTGCTGTTATCAGCGCTGGCCAGCGTGTGCATGTGTGTATAATAGGAGGGTGATGACAAGGCTGCAGGTGTAGACTCTGACTCCTCTGCAGGTGGAGGAGAGAGACTTTTACCCCACCTTACTTCAGCTCAAAGCACACTGAGATCACAGGGGCCGAAAACTCTCCTCTCTCCTCTCCTCTCTTATGAATAATTTATATGGTGAGATATTTTATATAATTTAGAGAAAATTGGTGTTTATGAGAACAGCCTGTATTGATGAAGAACAGCATGTTTTGAATGTAAACATTTTAATTTTGGAAAAATGCATACATAGGCTATATATCATCTTGCCACCGGGGTCCGGAACTCTGTACATTTTTCATATTCAAAAATACAATTTTAAGTTCTCTGAATGACTAATTAGCCGTTAAAACTCCTCCTATGAATGTCTGTGTGTATAATTCAGTTTAGACAGTTTGCTAGATTGTTTAATGTCCGTGATGTGAAAATGATGGAGAGTGATTTATGTCGCTGTGAGACGGTAGCGGATTGAACGGGGCTGGAGAGAGAGTTTTGAGTGAGGGAGCGGGGGCAGTCTCCGCCATGTTGCCAGATTCAGTTATTATAAATGTCTTAAGACTTGTTTTTTTTTCCGCTTAATGTGACACTTTAGGAAGTGAGAAGTTGCATTTTATCTCCAAGATATGGTATCAATGTTATAAAAAAAAAAAACTGTAGCATAATAACATTAGTACACTGATCTGTAGAATAAGTGAATTAAATATATATGCAAACACAAGTCATGAAGAAGGCTATATGCAATTTCATTCAGTTCAATACTTAACCTTTCACAAAGTCATGCTAAAATCATTCACACTGTAAGAGCACAGGCAAAGCCTCATTCACACCAATGCTTATTAATGAAAACTATTACACTTATAAGTATTGTTGCATTAATTATAAACAAATAATAACATGACCTTGTCTATAGTAAACTATTAACAAATTGTGATGCAATTAATAAGGTCTATTAAGAATGTACATTCCCCCAAAACAGACGAATAGAGAGAGTGTACACAAAGTGTAGAGTGGAAAAAGGTTCTAAAGAAATACATTAGTGCATTTGTATGTGTTATTATAGCACAATTCTTAACACTCCAACCCAGATCTCACTAATTTCCAAACCCTTATTACGGCCATGCTTGCTTTTCCTCTCGTTTTGTTTTTTCCATTCTGATCTGAATTCATCATCTCATCTGTCTCATTCTACTCTTCTGTTCTCGTTTCTTCTCTTATCTATTTATTTCTTCCCTTCTCTCGTTTTATTGTTTCCTCTGCCCTTTTCTCTCATCTCATTCTCTCTCTGGCATCATGTCCAATTAGTGTTTTTCTCAATCACGGAATTACTATTTTATTGAGACACCTCTGTTTTGAAGACTTGATCCCTTGTTTGATGTTTCAATCTAAACAATAGACAAAAAAAGAACAAACAACAGCCACTAAATATTCTATTCAGCTACAGAATACATAATGTTCTGTTGAGCCGTTTCAGCTGCTTGTTTTGTATTTGTTTATCTGGTTTTATGCAATATATGTGCTTATTTCCGCACAAAGCATCCTCTGCAGTCTGTAGTACAACAGCTCTCTATTGTTCCACAGAGCTGCTGGAATATCGCAGTGCAGGTGAGAGCCTGCAAAGAGAAAGCGTTCATTTTTCTCTGCCAAACTAACATACTTTCAGAGGTGACTGTAGAGTCATATTGCCAGAGGGCAGGATTACTCAGAATAGTTGTCTGGACTCCACAAAGCAGAAACTCCTCCTCCTGCATCTATCATCGCTCTCTGCCAGATCCCATCATCCAAGAAGTTTGTGCTTGCTTTAAATGAGTTTTTCTGGTTGCTGAGGAAACCAAATTAAGTTTAGCTTAGCTGTGGCGTACAGGAATTTGTTCAACTCAAGAGCAAGATTTCCTGCTCTTTAAGTGCGTTCCTAGACTTCAGAGAGGTGTTCCACAGCCCGCAATTCATATTGCCATCATGACTGAGCGAGAACATTAAAGTGTTTCGCCTCAGCGCCTGCCATCCTGCTTTGCACTTTTTGAAACTCGCTGCTCGCCTGTTGCATGAACCGGTCCCTCTGGGTCGTAGAGGAGCCTTCTTGCTTTCCTTTCCACTTTTTTTTCTTTGTATAAAAGAGATAATAAGCAGAATATACACTCCAGTGAGCACCAAATAACAATGTTTCGAAACTTTCTCAGATCATTACGACGCCATTTAAGTTATTTACTGTATCGTTCAGGTCATTTATTATTTTGCAAATATTAAACAAAGAGCTTTGAATACCTCCCAGGGAAGTTGTTTTGATGGTGGAGATTTGAGAGGACATCCGTGCCAAAAGTGAGTCCATGGTCTGAGTGTCAAAGACATAATGGAGGTTGGGGTGGGCGTGCAGGAAATCGAGGAGAGATAGTCAAGGGGTGTTGAACTTCAAAAGGTCATTGGATATTCCTCCGCTGCTCTGTGTGGGTGTGATACCTGCGGTGTAACATTTCCCTCTCTGTTCAATACACACTCCACTTTCTTTGCCGAGGTCGTGACCTTTCCATCAATCGTACTGCGGTTGACCTATGGAGGTATCCATCCACTCCTCCCTCTCACGCCTTGCTGACTGACTGACTGATCTTTTATATTTTTCTGTGTTTGTTCCTTCTTCTCAACAGCCCCGACGGAGCCACTGCTTTGCAAGTTTGCAGACGGGGGACAGAAGAAGAGGCAGAGTCAGAGCAAGTACCCTCAAAATGGCCGACCGTGGCCCCGGGAAGGAGAGGTCAGTGCTATCTATCTATCTATCTATCTATCTATCTATCTATCTATCTGTCTATCTATCTACAGTATATGTCTATCTGTCTGTTTTGGAAACTTTTTTTAAAACTTTCAAACAAGGCTCTGTCAAGCAAACTTTCAGTTTGCCTTAACTTGTGTTTTCTTGTAAAAATTATATGAATATTTTTATTAATTTCTTTGAATTTTAAACCATTTTATTTCTGCTTCTTAACGTTTAAAATTCAAACCGCAATGCTGCATCCTTTTATCTATGTCAGTTCAAATTCAATCCAAATGCAGCAATTGAAATTTAAAAGGCATTCTCAATTCAATTCCAAATGACACACAACCCTGATCCGCTGTACTTTTCCCTACTATCCCTGCGCCTTCCCTTTCCCAGTATACCCAACCCTGAAGAAGAGTATAAGTCGGGAACAAATCCTTTGTTTCAACCACAGGCTAGAATAAAGGAGTGAAAGAAAGGGAGACAGGAGAAAACATTTGATTGATGGAGTCATCTGGCCATGTTTAAGTTCCCAGTCTTTCGCACAAGTCCTTTAATCTCCCCTCTCCTGTTTTTATTCCCGCAAAGCAAGTCTCGCCGTCTGGGTTGGCTGATGGGAAAATGGCGGCAGGGTGAACAACTGGCATTTTCTGGGCAGCCCCAGCTGCTGGCATGACGCGGCGGTTCAGGGAAACATGCCCAGATACCGACCAGACCATGAGCGCCCATTATGAGGAGCTGGCAGACGCCATGACTTTGGCTGCACTCTCTCATGAAGGCGTATTTCAATATGCAACCCCCGGGGTCCACATTAACTAGATAGAGTGTCCAGTCACACATAGGTTAGGTCGATGGTTTTCCCACCAGTCTCCAGGTTTTCTCCCCCACGGAGGAAAACTTGGCGCCCGACAAGTTGCAGTATATGAGCGTTGTTTATCTGCTCCAGTCCAATACAGGTCTAAGCGGCCAGCTTCCCCCCCTTATTCACTTAGCTAGCACGGCTCTGTCAACATGAGCTATGCTTTCTGCAGGCTTGTAAATACCAAATAACTTTCTGCCGTATCGAACCCGAGCCCGTCTGGTATTACAGCCCAGCGCTCTGAGGTAATAGATCCACAGCTACAAGTCTTGGCCATGTGCTTTTAAAGATATAAAGAGCACTTGGCCGGCCCCTATTAGATGACCCTGTTCTATTGCCAGCATTACTCAATAGACTTTATAGGATACTTGCTTTACCGGCTTTGTCCTGTCTGTCTTGTGTTTCAGAGTGGCATGGCGCTGACCTATGACCCCACTGCAATGCAGAACGGGTAAGAGTCATTTGTTTTTTTGAGTTTTTACTGCTTTACAGGTTGTCCGAGGAAACAATGGTCCGTCCTTACATGGTCCATTACTTAAATAAGCTTCTTGCAGTGAATCCATCCTTATACCAGTGTTTTCTTGCTGAAAAGACCAGCAGTCACCAGCATAAAGTACATAGTTTTGTTTTATATGCTAGTAGTATGCTTGTCTGAGGTTTCCTAATCCAGTAAAGCAAGACATTTGAAATCACTTTTTGATAACCTTTAGTCTTTTTAGAATTTTTTATTTTTTCTTGAAATATTATTACATTTTAAAATAGCTGTTTTCTATTTGAATATATATTATAAAATGTAATTTATTCATGTGATGGCTAAGCTGAATTTTTAGCATCAATACTCATGTCTTCATTGTCACATGATTCTTCAGAAATCATTCTAATTTGCTGATTTGACTCAAGATTTCTTATTATTATTATTAATGTTGAAAACAGTTCTGCTACTTAATGTTTTTGTGATGCAGAATTATTTGATGGGTAGAAAGAACAGCATTTATTTAAAAAAAAGTTATTTATTCTCGTTTTTGATTCATTTAATTCATACTGCTGAATAAAAGTATTAATTTATTTTAAAAACATCTTAATGGAAACAGTAATGGCAGTGTGTATACTCATACTGTATCTGTGTATTTATAAGAAAACATATAAATATAAGTTTCCACTCTAAAAATATCTTATTAAATGATTAAAATGATTTTCATTTTCATTTGGTGGGCATATTACATTAAGAAATGCATTGTATTTGTAATGATACATTAAAATAATACATGGTAGTTGGTAGTTGTATCATTTTCAAACCAAAATTGATATTAATAATGTATGAAATATTAAGTAAACAAGTTGCTTGTGCAAAATGCATTTTGAACTATCAAAAAATAAGTTATTATTTTTGTTCATTTATCAACATTGGCAAACACTTCACAAAAAAGTATTCCAGCACGAAGGTGGACATTTGAAAATTATAACTAAAAAAAAGTATTTCTACTTCCTGAGAAACATGAAAAATCCACCAGGGGGCTGAAGATATGTGGTACATCATATACAAAAGGTCTTTCAGGAAGGTATTGATCATATGAATGATACATATGGCTTTATAGGGTTAACTTAACCAGCAAGACTGTCTCGACTAACCAGGCGGTTCATGCAGATTTAATTTGGTCTTTTCAGCAGGGTTACCAACGTCTGAGCTGCAGTGAATAATGCCAAACTTTACAGAGTTGTCTTGTACACTGGCACACACATACATGTCATATCCAATCTGCATTTTGTGCCATTGTTGCACCGAAAGGTGTAAGTGTTTCGTCAGGTGCTGGTTTCAGGGCATGGAAATGGGTGCCGGGCTTGGGTAAATAAGTCCCTCTCTGTCCGTCCGCTCCTGTGGACGAAGTGCCCAGGGCTCTGTCTCTGATCCGGCCCACTGGGGAAACAGTCATAGTCTCCCAAATGTACCTCAGCTACCAACTCCGGCTCCTTTTGCACCTCTGACTCAGCACTTGCTGTCTGCGGTAAAGGGAACAAAATAAGGAATGACAAAAATATGCAACTGGGAAAAGCGGGCAGATTCTGAATTGTAAATAATAGAGCTGACTAGAAAGTGCAGAGGAAGAGAAATGCTTTATTTGTTTCCTTTCTCCTTTCCATCACTTCTACCACATTAGCATGTATAGAGAGAGTTCATACAGTCTTCTTAATTGTTTAATAGCCCATGCCATCTCAATGTCAACAGGCTGAAGATAATAGCTGGCATAAATAACAGCAGAGCGGTGCTAGGCTAAACACAGGATTGCACAGTAACGTAAACGGGTGTGTACAGCTTCACATTTTAACCCTGCTTCAAAGATTGTGTTACTTTCTTCCTGGACATGCTCTCACTCAGGTCGTCTTATGTGACTGTGACATAAGGGAGCATGTGCTCTCTAGGGCAGACAGAGTTTCTCTCCCCACGCTCCATTTCTCAGCTGCCAGACAAGCCGATCAATAAAGCCTAGCAACGGAGCTTGCAGATGAAACATGTCCGCAGTAGGTACACAATGATAAATAAAGTCCTGCCTGAGAACTGTAGCTATTGGAAAATGCTGTTGCTCTGGTAACACAGAGGGCTCAACAAATTAACTGTTGTGACAAGCCTATGCATAAACAGATATACACAGACATGATCGTTTTATTAATGATAAACTTTTTTAGTCAACACGGATGCATATATAATGTTACAAAACATTTCTATTTCAAATAAATAACCGAACCCAAGTTTTAAAACCCTTGTCTTAGGGCGTCTTTACACTTGTCAGGTTTGGTTTGATTAAAACAAACTCCGGTGCGATTGCTCTGTTCATTTGAATGTGTGAACGCAGCCATCCGAACCCTGGTGCTCATCAGTGTTCGTAAGTTCTGTCGCAAAATATACATCAGGAAAGCTTCTTTTTTGTTGTTTTGTATCTTTAGGTTTGGTCTTAAAAATGACAGTGTGAACTAAGTGAAGCAAACGAAGACTAAAATGTATAATTTTCTTGTTTGGTCCAGACCAAGAGAACCAAACTACACACCCTTACTGTGCGTTCACACCGGACGCGAATAGCGCGTCAAATTCGCGTCTACCGCGTCTAGTTTGACGCTTGACCACTTTGTGTTAATTCGCGTGTCAATGGCGAAATTGACGCGCGTAACAACAAAAGTTTGAAGCGAAATTTACGCGCGTCAGAGGCGAAATCCGGAGGCGAAAGTTTCGAAACCCGTTGGCGGCCATCTTTTTAGATGTTTATCGAGCATTAGCATTAGCATTATTCGAGAGAGTCACCGCTCGTATATGCTCTGGAGAGCAGAAACAGCTGCGTAGGGGACATCGTCGCTGTACTCGGGTCCACCAGAACCTCCGGAGGGTTTCAAGAGTTTCACAATTTGCTCCAGGAGCTAGGTTTGGTGGACCTAATGGTGAGGACGCTGACGAGGACAGCGTAGGCCGTATAAGCCCTCGGCCTCGAGTGGTCTAGCTATGCCTGTCGAGCCCGCGCTCTACAGTCCGGCGCGAGGTTCATCCTCGCCCGCATCCACCTAATCTGTCATTTATTTTTGTTTTGATAATAAACGAAGCCAGCCTCCAAAAGTGATTAATCTGTCCTGTGATTTTTTTCTCTCTCTCACACATCACTGTCCAGACACTAACTTATATGTTGGTTGTCTTTACATTATAATAATATTTCATATAATCTAGATATGGAATAAATAGCATTCAATACAAAATGAATATGTCTCATATATTGAAATCAAGTTTTATGTGATAAAATATTTGCTTTGTTGTGCATTAGAACCACAGTCATATATTACAAAATAATTTATTGAAGCATCCAGATACTTCACCACGTGACAGCAGCAAGCAGCTAGGCTCCTGATTGGTTAACGCGGCGCGAATTGACGCAGAAGTTCAGATTTTTCAACTCGGGCGGCAGACGCGAATTCGCGTCAAACGCGTGAATGCACAAATAGCACTAACTAAATCATTCGCGCGTAACGCGCTTAACGCGCCAGACGCTCAATTCGCGGCATTCGCGCGAACTTGACGCGCGAATGAGGAGTATTCGCGTCTACCGCGCCGCGCTCTACGCCTCATTCGCGCCGCAGGAATTTTTTACGCGCGTAACGCGTCTTTGCATTGACTTAACATTGAAATCACTCGCGCCTGACGCGCTATTCGCGTCCGGTGTGAACGCACCATTAGACAAACAGAAAAAGGGTACTAATAGTGTTTTTTTGTATCTTGCAGGTTCTACTCCTCACCATACAGCATCTCCACAAACCGCATGATCGCTCAAACGTCAATCACTCCATTCATCGCAGCCTCTCCTGTCTCCACATATCAGGTACGATCACAGCATATACGAACTCTTGCTGCAGGCAAACATTCAGAGACATTTACAGCGTGGACCCTAGAAACATCTGGACGCTTAAGACACGTGATAATATATAAATGTCTTATTTAAAATGTCATTTAAAATATGCGTTTGTTTTTAAGAAAGATAGCAAAGATAGTCTTTCAAGCAAAAAAAAATCATAAAGTCGTTAGTAACACTTTCTGGGAAAAGGTCTAGCATCAATTACTTGTGGATGCCACTTGGATTGATATCTAATGCAATGACAGTGTTTTAAGTGTAACTTGAATCTCCAAAAGTTCCCAAATACTTTTAGAGGGCAACTGTATCACAAACACAATTACATGTAAACAAACACAGTTTTTGTCACATACATTTGAGGAGAGCGTTTTGCGGTATAGCGTGTTTTTCCATCACTCTCCGTGTTTACTGTTTTGGTAGGAAAGCTTATTAACGCTGTTCCCCAGCCCTGCAGTCAGACGGAGTGAGCAAACAGTGACTATGAGCATCCCTAATTGATTTGGCTTAAGCTAAACTAAACAAAACATTGCTGAGCGTAGAGAATAGCTAAGCCCTTTAGATCATGTACCTCCCGTCCTCACGAGAACCTCGTCCTCGCGCAAACACGCCGACACACACATACACGAGCACGAGCGCACATGTACAAACCACCCACGCTGACCCTAGTCCTAGTTTAAACTCTCGGCCGCACGTTTCTTATGATAAATTCTGCATGCCAGGAAGGTTATCTCTAAATCAAATTGCGTGATATCATGTGCAAAAGTGCCCCGCTGGCCGGCGAATTAATTTTAAATTGCAAACTGCACTGAACCCGCCAATACGAGTGCAAAGCCAAGCTGACGGGAAATCAATGCGCTGCTACCTTTATTTCTCCCCTAGAACTTTGAGAATGGAACAAGAGACAACTGTTTCCCTCTCCAGTGAAAGGACAGAGAAGAGCAGAGAAGGAGGGAGAGCGAGAGCATGAATCTTTTAGCAGTCGGGGAGAGAGAGACAAGGTGTGCGCTTACACATCTTAGTGGACTTAGTGTGTTTAGAGAGAAAGAGAGAGTGAGAGAGAGAGAGAGAGAGAGAGAGAGACGCCCGAGGCAGATCACAGTGATGAACAAATCCCAAAGGCTTTTCTTCCTAGAACAACATAAAAGGACACCGCATATAAATTTAGACACCTACAACTGTTCAAACGCACTTTCACGAATCTAAATGCATACATCCATCCTCTCAGACAGGAAGTGGACACTTATCCTCAGTTCGCGTGGTATAAAAATAATACTCAGGTATACTGTGCCCTAAATCTGTGCTATTTTAGTATCATTGTGATACTATTAGTTTTTATTAATATTTTGCATTTTTTATTTTTAGATTTTTCATTTAAATAGTTTTAGTCTATATGTAATAGTTTGTCTAAATATTTTGTCTATGTCCATAGTTATTATAAATATATTATTTATTTGTTTTAGTTTTAGTTATTTTAGTACATCAAGTTAAACTAAATGAAAATGACAAATGTCAGTAGTAGGCAAAAGTTATGTCCGGCCTAGGAACATTGACATCTTCAGCCTTTTTTCAAATATTATTAAAGATTTGCTAAAGATTTTGTAAGCATTTTTTTTAGATGGAGTCAGTTTTTTTTTTTTTTTTTTAATAGCATGCCGAATTGTGCTGACATAATTTTTGGCCAGTCTGTCAAAAAAAAATACAATTATGAACACATGCAAAAACAAGAGAGAATCAACGGAATGGTAATAACTTGTTTGCTATACTTTTTTTTTTTCATAGTAAAATAAAACCTGTAGCTGTAGTTTGCCTTTATTTACCAAATAATTTTGTCAGATAAATACCTTGACCAAGTTTAGTGTTTTATTCTTCACTCATATATTATAATTTTTATATATATTTATAAAATATTTCCTCATATTTTTTTGGATTAATAGAACTTGTAGGGTGATTAAAAACTAATATCCCCTCTGGACATCACTTTTTGCCACTACTGTAGCTGAAATAAAATGTTTATTTATATTTTTAATATAATGTTATTTTTATTTATATTTTATTTTATTCCAGTAAAAGTTGATTGTATTTCAAGTAACGAAAATGTTTTTAATAGTTTTAGTTTTAGTTAATTATAGTAACCCTGTCCTAAATGAAGTAATTGTTGGAATTACTATGGTGGCGAGATGAAAGGAGATATTTTTTGGGGTCCAAGTCGGCCTCAGATGATGAAATTGCTGCCGCAGCGCTGTAATTAGGATGCAATATCGCTGTCTGTAGAATTCCGATCCCTGTGTAATTATCACACTTGTATTACTCGCTCCTGCCTCGACTGCTCTGTGGGAATCGGGGCTTCGAGGCAGCGGGAAGAGGCGTAGGAGGGGGGGGTGAGGAGTGAAATTAAGAAATGCTGGTTTCCGCCCACAGGTCCAGAGTACGTCGTGGATGCCTCACCAACAGTACGTTATGCAACCTACGGTAAGTGCCGCTGAGGAGGTGTTCATTTATCTTGGTGTGTGTGCGTGTGTGTTGGGGACATGAGGAAACAGACAGATAGAGAGGATTGAGGAGAGGTGAGAGTGATTCTGTTTATCTCTGTGAAAGAGTGGATGTTCTGTGAGTAAAAAAAAAGGAAAAAATGTGGCTCTTTACCCCCATCGCCCTCTTGTGGCCGAGCAAGTAAGTGCGGGAGCTGTGAATAGTCAGAGAAAGGATGTTTATATGGTTGCATCCCAAAACCGATAAATGCTGCCTTCGGAGGATGCATTGCAAAGTAGGAAGGCATCAAGGCACGTCCAAATTCAATGTTAGCATCACTTCCTGTCTCCTGAAATACCTTCATCTGATCGTTTTTTGAAGGCAGCATAGATGTATCCTTCACTGCCTTTGATATCCCACAATCCTGTGCTTTCCATTCTGTGACAGTTGAGCTAGAAAAATAAAGATGCCATCTAAAAGTTGTGATTGGTGGTCAGTTTGTGTGTAAATGTACGTTTTTGACCAATGTTTTACACTTTTGATGTCATTATAGTGAGAAATTACTATTGTAGTTATTAATTATTCGCTTAGTTTTCCCCAAAGCTCTCTGTTTTGTTGTAGATCATTAAACGGTCTTTCCAAAATCAGTTTCGTGAGGTACCTTCATGTGCAAACGCTGCTTGCAAAGTCATTGCCTGATAGCAAGGCATCAAGTTTTCGGATTAAGCTTATGTTTAAATGGATAGTTCACCCAACAATTAAAAATTTGTGATCGTTTACTTGCCTTCATTGGCCAGTTCTATTCCTTCAGACAGTCTGGATCAGTTTAATAGATATGTTGTCTGAGCTCCATCGGCACATATTTGTCAACCTGGAGAGACTTTCTCTTCTCTTTCTCTGTCTCACTGCACAAATACACACATACAAACTACCTCTCTTGTGTTCTTTCCCTTAAGTCTTGCAGAAAAAGGCAATCCCTTGGCCGAGGTCTGTAGGTCTGCCCACCGTCTCTTTGGCTCTCACCTGATCTTGGATTTACTGTAAGCAAGGGGTCTGCATTCCACCTTGGAAATGGCCAAAGGTAGTCTGGGATCAGGGCTTTCTCATTGGCATGGCCTGAAAAAAGGCTTCAGTCAGCTGTTTCCAGATCCGCAGCAGGCAGACGCAGAGTTTCATATGATGCTGAGCAACACAAGAAGTGAAACAGGGTTATAGAAAAGGAGGCAGATGTCTGACTAGATAATGATATTCCAGACTTGTTGTGTGTGAGTGAGTGTGTGCATGTGTAGTCGAATGGGAGGTTTGATGATCATGATTATGTTGTGTAAATGTGTTTGTAACCAAACCCTCATATCTAATGATCTGGCAACCCATCAAAAAAGACCTCAGCTGCCTGGGAGAGAGAGAGAGGCAGTGGGAGTCTGTGAGCTGATCTCTGCCTAATTTGAAAATCCTGGAAAGAAAACAAAGGCGGAAGAAATCATGGGCCTTTTTTCTTTCTTTTTGTGGGTCCTGCAAAGAGAGAAGGCAAGCAATTAAAAGTGGCTGAGAAAGGGAAGCATTGTTATTGGAGAACGGCGCTGCATTTGGCACCTTGTTACCGTGGAGACACGTGACCATAGCGACCGGAGCCTGCGATGAGGGTTTAAGCAAATCAGCAGACAATGGAAGCGCTCTGAGCTCCCTCTCCGCAGTGCAGGGTGTGTGTGTGTGTGTGTGTGTTTGTTTTTAGTATACATCGGTACCTTAAGTGCACCTGCTGTTGTGACCTGCTGATTATGTTGGCCATACAGCTGAGTTATGCATTACTATCCCAACCAGATGACAGGTGTGTGTGTGTGTGTGTGTGTGTGTGTGTGTGTGTGTGTGTGTGTGTGTGTGTGTGTGTGTGTGGGTGGGCTCACTTGTGTCCTTATCAGGGCTGAGATAAGGTTAGGTTACTTATATTGTACCCATAGGTAAATTTGTTTTACAGTGCAATGGCATTCTATGGCATCCAGTACAAAACCACACAACACAGAACACTCCACAACAGACAAGAAAATAATACTCATACTTAGTAAAGTGCTCTCAAGAAAGTGCTCTTACAACATTACATATGACCTTTCTAAAATCATAAAACCCCTAGTACAACATTTCCGAAAGACCACCTCTACAATTTGTTAATCCTATTAATCGCATTTGGTACGAAGCTGCTCTTATATCTTTTCGTTCTACACCTTGGGACTTTATACCTCCTCGCAGATGGCAATAACTGAAACTCACTGGGCAGGGGGTGAGAGTCATCATTTAAAATTGAAAAGGCCATCCTTTGTAGCTGTTTGGTATATAGGGATGCCACTCCTGGTTTTGACTCACCTATCAAACGGCCAGACCATTTTACTATCTGGTCTAACTGATTTTTTGCCTTTAAAGATATATGACCATACCATACTACAGTGACAAAGGACAACACAGATTCAATAAAAGCATGATAAAACATCTTCATTATTGTTCGGTCAACATTAAACACAGATAAAGGACGCAGGTCCGATGGTCCGATGAATCCCGTTTTCCTTTTCATCACGCAGACGGTACATGTACGTGTGCGCCGTTTACCTAGGGAAGTGATGGCACCAGGGACGACGACAAGCCTACATGTGGATGTAAATTTGACACGTGCCACCTACATAAAGATTGTTGCAGACCAAGTACACCACTTTGTGACAATAGGTATTGCCTGATGGCGGTGGACTCTTTTAGCAGGATAATTCTCCCTGCCACACTGCACACATTGTTCAGGAATGATTTGAGGAACATGATGAAGAGTTCAAGGTGTTGCCCTGGCCTCCAAATTCCCCAGATCTCAATCCAATTGAGCATCTGTGGGATGTGCTGTACCAACCAGGTCGATTTCACCTCGCAACCTACCTGACTTGAAGGAACCGCTGTTAATGCCTTGGTGCCAGATACGACAGGACACCTTCAGGGGTCTTGTGGAGTCCATGCCTCAGCAGGTGGGCGCTGTTTTGGCAGCAGGCAGAGGACCAACAGCATATTAGGCAGGTGGTCATAATGTTTTGGATCATCAGTGTGTATATACATACCATGCTGGTTGATCAGTACTAACCAGAATTAACCAGCATGAAAATCCATGCTGGTGTAAGCAATTTCAGCAGGGTAGCTGCACAGATGTTGTCAGCAGGGCACACACACACACCAACCAGCAGGCACACACTTACCCACAATGCACCACACAGAGGGCCATCACTTAACTGTACCTGTTACTTTCCATCTTTGCGCAGAGAAGAATCCCCAGCCGCCCTAACCAAATCACATCCTGGAAATGAACATTAATGAATCAAGACCGCAGTGCATTACGGCAAAGCCGCTTAAAGTGGAACCGCCACGCAAGAGGAGAGAAAAGAAATGAAACGCTTCTCTAAGCCCCCGCTAGTCACGGCCATTTGCAGAAACAAAGAAGCCCATGTTTGAGTAAAGATTTAAGTATATCTCAGCCCCATCACAGCCCGAGAACGCTCTGTTTGAACGGTGGGAATTGGCGGGGTGTCGTGTGTGTGTGCGTGAGAAAGAAAAATGCACGCTATAGCCTATGTTTTTCTTAAGTGTGTTTCAATAGTGGGAATTCATGGTTATGCCTTGGCACATATTGTTTAAGCTTAATATTAGACATCCTCCCTGGCAGCCTGCTTTTTTAAAGCACCGGTACCTGAGAGAGACAAAAAGAGCCACTTCCTTTTCCTGTCTCTATTTTAGATGTCTTGGCAAAAAACCTCTCCTTCCTCTGATGTCACAGGAGATTTCTGCTCGTCCAGTTTACATCGGAAACCTCTGGCTTTAAAGTGCAGCCACGGACATTTTTTGGCATCTAGTACTCGAAAACATCAGCTTAGATAAATGTATATTTGGTCTGAGGTTGAAAATGAGTATACAGGCTGTTGTTTAAAGAAAGAAATCTCATTGGCTGCCTCCGAAATCTCTCTCAGAATGTCACTCACTTTCCGAATATTCCCCCTAAGGGAAATGAAGGAAAAACACACACGCGTGCACACGTACGCACAAGCGCAGCTTTAATCATCTGTCTAAGTCTCACACTGATACGGCTGTAAATTAGAGTGGAGAATTATTCAGCATGGATTTCTTTTTTCTTCGCTCATTATGAAAGCTTGTCGTGGGGCGGGGGAACTGTTAGCTTGAGGCTCTCGCATCTGAAAGCTAAGACGCGGAAGGCGCTGAACGGTTTACCTCTGAAAGCTTGAATAGAGACAGAGCGCTTCTGACACCAAGTGCCTGTACAGTTTATTCTTCAAGCGCAGGCAAGCACCAGCACCACCAAGCTGTGCAAGCTGAGAGACAGACTGAAGCTTGCGTGTTTGTGTGTGGAAAGGCTTTTTTTTTTACTGTTGGCACACTCAGAGAGAATGTGTCTTCAGAAAATGGCGAAAACAATCCGGAGTTCCCATACATATACTGGATCATATACCGTACATTACAAAAATGTGCATGATTATCAGAATGTCTTAGTATTTACTTTGTCCCCTTTTTTGCACTCGAATTGCATAAATTTCACAAATTGACTTGTTTGATTATTGACCTGCAGCGGAAATAATACAGAACACTATTATACATTTCTTATTCGTTTTACATCATGATGTCACATCCTTAAACTGCTTATTTAATTAGATTTTGAATTGGATTTTCCCAGATTTTAAATGCCCTTAGTCACATCACAATTATGACATGCTCGAAAAGTTGATTGTTGATGCTTTTCCATGAATTATCCATTGAATATTGATTAGATGGTGAAAAGTACCAGAATGAAGCCTTAAGGCCCGTTCACACCAAGGATTATAACTATTAACGATTTATAGTTCTAAAAATAAAATAATAGCAGTCCACACCACAATAACGGCACAGAGAAACACTATCGTTGGAATCATTTTCAGAACTATTTTTTCCAGCTGATGAACGATAAAAACATTTGCAGACAATCAGAACCCATCCTACTTTGACACATTTTAAGTGTCAAAACTGCAGCACGCGCTTAGAACAAACAGAGCGATTTTGTAAATTGCTGTGGATGCTGATATAGTTATCGTTTTAGTTATATTTATCATTCTTGGTGTGAACGGGCCTTTTGTTAAAATAGTATCTTAAAAACTAGTTTTTTTCTTTTAGTTAACATTATCTAACAGTCTGCTTGGCCTTAAGTCTTTTAAGGCATTTACACTACCATTCAAAAGTTTGAGGTCGGTAAGATTTATGTTTTAGAAAGACATGCTTACCAATGCTGCTTTTATGTTATCAAAAATACAGGAAAAAACTGTAATATTATGACAATTTAAAATAACATGTTTGTATGTTCATATATTTTAACATGGAATTTTTTCTCGTAATAACGCTTGATTTTCTGCAGTCAGGACAGATGAATTTGCAGTAAAGCATTTTGCTACATTGGGCGAGTGATTCTGTTCTGATAAGAGTCTTAAACACAGCACTTCTAACAGGAAAGAGTCCCTCACATAACTGTAACCAGAGTTGTACACCGCACAATGGTTTCTCATCATCCTTTGCCAAACCATCTGAGAAGAATTGAACTTTCTGACAAACTGTTTGACGGAGGGTCTCCTCGGAAAGATTAATCCTAATCAAGTTGGCATGTGAGAATGAGCGTGTGTGTACGTCTCTGGCCTAGTTCTGCTGAAGCGGTCGTGTGACGGCATCAGATGATAGCTCAGGTCAGCGGTTACAAATCGCAGCCGTTTTCTCCCCCCTCTCTCTCTCTCTTGTCTGTTCCTCACATGTGTTAGCACTCTCATCCCAGTGTGCCTGAAACGTAAACACACCCGGGGTGCGGAGCAGCTCTGCTGTTAAGTGAGCGATGCATCATCTCTGCAGAAGTATGCATGACTCGCATTTGGATCGCATTATTTCACTTGTTGAAGTGGAACAGCTCACGTCTGGCCCTCATATTAGGGCCCAGCTGTGGGCGTACGGTGATGAGATGAGTGAAAGAAGGAGAGAGGTTTTTTTGTTGAGAGCATGACTGCGTGATCAGTGACTCTAATGAAGTCGTCCAGATGTGTTGTTGAATGGTAGCTCATTTCCTCTCCCGTCCTTCACGCGGTTTGACCTGTAACAGTGTGTGTTTGTACATGTGTGTCCTCTTGTAGGGTGCTGTGATAACGCCAACCATGGACCACACCATCTCCATGCAGCCCGCTAACATGATGGCACCCCTCACCCAGCAGATGAACCACATGTCCCTGGGTACCACTGGCACCGTGAGTGTGTCCGCTGTCTCTATCTTAGGGTTCACCTTCAGCTGGTCTGAGTCACAGAGGAGCAGAGGAACAAAGCTAAACTTTAATTAAAAGTATGCAAACTGTTAAGAACAAAGAACAACCAAGTAAAGCTCTGCCCAGGAGAGTAAAAAAAGTACCGGGAAATAAAATATGGATACTGTGTTAATATTGTACTCAATTAATAGGTTCTAGCCAAAAATGTACCTGAGTGAAAGTAAATAAGGCTTCCACATTGATTTGTACTTAAGTATTTCAAAGTAAAAGGCAATTAAAAAAAAGGTAAAACTTTGTTCTTAGCTTTTGAAATTAATCAAGAGAACTAAAACCAATATCCTGCAACCTTTTACTTGACATTGTTAAATGTTAAACACAGCCAAACCTGATTTTATAGCTTAATCAAGTTGTTTGTCACAGTGAAGCTTTTGGTATATGAAATAAATCTAAAAAGAAATATTACATGAAAAAATTATGAAAATTAGAAATGTTGCCTTGCAACTAACTGAAATAAGTTTTTACTTTATTTAGTAAAAATGACTAAAACTGAAAAAATAAAATTCAAAATATTAACTGTACTATAATAGTATATAAATAATACTTTAAAAAACTGGTTTGTAGACTGATCGCTGACCATGTTTGCACTCAAGTTCATATACTGTACAATATTTGGTTTAATTAAACATTAATTTAGGTTTAGACACTATACTGTATGCTGTGGTCATTTTTAGAAATGTACCTTCTACATTGAGATTTCACTGGTGAAGGTATAACTCAGCCATATATTTTAAGAAGAGGATAGATTTACATCATTATGAGCAGTAAAATATGTACTTTGGATCTTGAAGGGCTGAATGAAATTGTAAATCATTAGAAATGTAATGAGTAAAAGTACAATTATTCATTTTTAATAGTACTTCAGATTTAGAAAAAAGGATTCAACTTATAGAAGTAGATGTTTGCTATCGTTCATCATCCATCTCAAAGAGATTCTTTATGGAGCGACAAGGTAATGAGAAAAAAATGTACTTCAATGTTCGCTCTAAAAAGTTTTGCAGCGAACCCTCGCAAAAGCATTAAAATATAGTTCATATATTTTTGCGAGCGAATGCAATGTTTGTCAGGGAAACAAAACTTTTATTAGCAAATTTATTGAGCATTTTCTTTCCCCTCACATCTCAGATTTTATTCCGTCACCATGTCCCCTTCGGGGCTTCATCTTTTTGGGCAAATTAGCTTTTGATGTACAAGTGCCACAAGTTGCACTGTAATATGCAACAGCAACTCCGCACATGTGACGCACAATCTTGCATCTGATTGGGTGGTGAGTTTTCTCATCAGACAGATAAATAAAATCAACATGCACTTTAGAAAAAGACAAACCTAGCTCTGACATTGGAAAAATGTTTGTTCACAATGTAAATAGGTCCGTAGGAATGCACTGTTTGCCGTGTGTGTGAATTGACTGTGTATGTTTTGTTGCAGTACATGACTGCGGCTGCTGCTCCTATGCAGGGGACCTACATTCCCCAGTACACTGCGGTGCCTGCCTCAGCTGTCTCAGTGGAGGTGAGTTTCTGGGTGACTGCAAATCAATTCACTGGTCCAACTGATTAGATGAGCGCTGCTAATTGAAAATGTGGGGATCAGTTGCCTCGGGCCAAAATCCACCCACAACTTCCTTAGTGCCTTTTATTCCAGCTTTATAAGGCCTGAGTCCAGTCTGGAGCGCGTCTTTAAATTCAATCCTGTCTGAGTACCAAACACAGCCTTACAGCCTTCCTTTTTCTGGAGGAGGTTAAACTTTATTTTTGTTTTTTGTGAGGGGGCATCCTGTAATTATGACATCATATCCTTCCAGGGAGTGGTGACGGAGGCTTCTCCACAGAGCGTTCCACCCTCGTCGCAGGACGGTAGCGGTCAGCAACAGGCTCTGGGTGTGGACAACACCAGCGATCACGCGCCCACCTACTCTTTTCAGCCCGCCAAGTGAGTTTGAGGGACACTTCACATTGATAAGATGAATAGGAGACAAAGTATCTTGTTCCCATATTCATGATTCACCAACCACACAACGTTTTTACAACATTGCATTTTGGTTGCAGTTGGGGGGGAAATGTACAACATTTTTATAAAGAAATCAAATGTGTATTATTTAAAAAATATATATATATATATATCACAACAAAACCTAAATGACCAGAAATAACCAGCTCCAGTTTTCTGAAAGAAATTAATGCTTTTATTCAGCAAGGATGTATTTAATTGATCAAAAGTTAGAGTGAAGACATGTATACCGTAATTTCAAATAAATGCTGTTCTTTTTAGCATTTTATTCATCAAAGAATCCTTAAAGGATCATGTGACACTGAAGACTGGAGTAATGATGCTAAAAAAAATCAGCTTTGTCATCACAGGAGTAAATTACATTATAAAATATATTAAAAATAGAAACCCGTTATTTTAAATTGTAATACTATTTTTATTGTATTTTGATCCAAACTTTTGGACAGTAGTGTATAAGAAAGGTTACATTTTGGTTCCAAATACATCTCATTTAATTGTATACAACCAAAATAAAACATTTTGGAAACAAAATTGTAACCTTTGTAGAGTATTTTATTTAGATTTGAGCATAGTCTGTGCATTTGAATAGGATGATTCCTAAAATGTTTCAATGCTAGAGACTTCATAACATTTCTGGGGGGGAAATGCATGTTTTACACTACCAAATCGTTGTATGAAGTATGTAGGATAAAAACGGCAGCAAAATTTTAATGCTTTTAATTTTAGGTCAAGCTGGATTTTTATTTAGCTCATTAAAGGGATACTCCACTTTTTTTGGAAATAGGCTCATTTTACAACTCCCCCAGAGGTAAACTGTTGAGTTTTACCGTTTTTGAATCCATTCAGCCGATCTCCGGTTCTGGCGGTACCACTTTTAGCATAGCTTAGCATACATCATTGAAGTGGACAAGACCATTAGCATTTCTCAAAAAAGAATGACCAAAGAGTTTAGATATTTTTCCTATTTAAAACTTGACTCTTCTGTAGTTACATCGTGCACTAAGACCGACGGAAAATGTAAAGTTGCGATTTTCTAGGCTGATATGGCTAGGAACTATACTCTCATTCCTGCGTAGTAATCAAGAAACTTTACTGCCGTACCATGAGAGCAGCAGGCGTAATGATATGACGCAGCGCCTGAAAATAGTTCCGTTGTGTTGACGGAAGGTGGCCTATTTTCAGGCGCTGCGTCATATCATTACGCCTGCTGCACTCATGGTACGGCAGTAAAGTTTCTCTTTGGTCATTTTTTTTTTGAGAAATGCTAATGGTCTTTTCCACTTCAATGATGTATGCTAAGCTATGCTAAAAGTGGTACCGCCAGAACCGGAGATCGGCTGAATGGATTCAAAAACGGTAAAACTCAACAGTTTAACTCTGGGGGGGTTGTAAAATGAGCCTATTTCCCAAAAAAGTGGAGTATCCCTTTAAATGCTGTTGTTATTGGGCCTTCAGGACTAAGTGATGATCCATGAGTGAACCTTGAATTGTATCCAGTATGCTTTTCAAACTCTCGTCTTCTCATTGGTTCAGATAACCAGAGGAGATGCGGGGCGTTGAGGTAACTGCGTTGCCTTGAGACTGGGGGACTGCGACGAGGGAACATTGAAGACAAGAGCGCAAGAGATAGGAAAACACGTTTGTGTCTACTTTTGCACAAGCATCAAAAAAAAAAAAAAAAAAAAAAAAAAATTTATTTAACACCTGGCCCACACCGGAGGACCTTTGGAGAGCTCACAACCAGACAGGGAAAGAGAGAAATGACGTCTGGGAGATTGAGCCTACTGTTAATCGGCTGCCCGAAAAAAACTTTACCTTCATGAAGTGAACGAATTCAAACAAGTACAAGTTTTCCTATTCTTTTTTTGAATGTGCAGGTAGGTTTTCAGAAACAGTGGGTTTTTCTATTAGACGAGGAAGCACGTTCTTGTAAAACAATGAGAGAAGGAGCAAAAGAAGTCTTCCTCGGATTCTAAGCTACTATTACTTTTCTTTTTTTATGAGTTAGATTTTAGTTTTCTAGAGAATATTAATGTTTTTTCATCTTTGTTGCCTTAATTTCGAGAAACATCTAAGACTTTTTCCTGTTTGAACTGAACAGACTGACGAATGCAGTGAAAATGACCTGACAAGGAAAGGAAAATTACCTGTATAAAGCATAGAAAGAAGAGAGAGGTCTCCTTGAGACGTTTTAAATTATCAGTGGTGACTATGTGTTTAAAAGAGAGGACAGACAAAAAAAAATATTGTGGTCATGATGATGATGATTAAACAGAGTTGCATTTTTTTAGAAACAGAGGAAAAAATGTTAATCCACTGCATCATGGGAAATGCAGTTTATTGTGTAGTGCAGATCATTTTTAATGGCATTATTGTTTTTATCTGCAATATTTTTTATGAGCTTTAAGGTGTTTTTAGCCTGCTTTGCTTGTTTCATTGCGGAAAAAAAGAAAACTAAAACAGTCACAAAAAAAAAAGGCAGTGCAAATTTACATAGATAAAAGCTTATGGATTAAATCGAAACGAAAAAAAAGCAAATGTGTGCAAAAAGCAATAGTAATAGGAAATTGTTGACAATTTCTTTAGTCTTTCTTAGCTGTGGATCAAATGCAGCCCATGGATGGCATATTTTATACCAAAGATGAAGAAACCCCCCTCAAGACAGTGGAGTGGATCAATTTTTTAGTTTCTTTTTTTCTATTTGAGATGTTTTGGCATATTCATTTTGTTTCAGAAGTATCCGTTTGACCTTGACGGCCAAATTTGGTACTTTAGGGTTTAAACTTCCTTCCACTGTTGCAGAATCTATGTCAATCGTTCAGTTGAGAGGCAGAAAACCACCATCACTGATCCTCATGAGTGTGATCTCCCCACCAGAGGGCGTCAGAGAGCGGCTGAACCATCAATCATCTCGCGTCTGCCCGGCTGAATGAACTATACCTCTATCTCTGCACCTCCCAGTCGCCGACCCACGGTTGGTCACTATTAAACACGTCGCGCATCCGTTCAGTTTGAGCTTTCTCACAAAGAAAGCCGTTTTCATCATTTCAACTTGACAGGAAGCACTCACTAGTGTATATTTAAACTCTGTGTACAGATCACTACCTCATTGAAAGCAATTTTACCATGAGGAAACACAGGAGAATGTGTTGCGGGTCATAAAACACAAGCTTTGCTTCAGGGGCACTGAGAAACATTTGCAATTAGCAGCATTAGCATGACATATTGTTCTGAGCACCTCCGTCCTTCTATTGTAGATGTTTTTTTGCGATCCAAACGCCTCATATTATATGCAAAGTTTCTTTAATCAACCAGATGCCATAGGAAATCTCTCGTGAAAACAACAGTCTTTACTTGAAAAACGAAGGCTCTGTCCCAAAGCCCTTGCAGTTGCTTTAAAGTCCAGATTTTGGTGACGTAATCCAGTTAGTAATCCGCAAGACAGCGAATACACATCGAGTTTGTTATTTGGGACAGGGTCTAAGGTGCCCATCGTCATGGGATTCGGCGGTTGCTCTGGTGCCTTGACAGCTCGGAATTAGGGTTAGAAATATCACGTGTAGAGTGATATCTCGACTTTCCATGTCTGAAATCTGCTTTCATTTGATCAGGCTGCCCATTCCAGAGGGGGGAAACTAGCAAACAGAAGAGGAGAAAGCGGTAACATCTTATATGTTCATATATACAGCAAGGCTGCTGTCCTTTATTTACCATGAAGTAGATGTTTTTGATGCAATCTGATACAAAACTCTATAGAGCACTACAGTGATGACGTATTTTTGTAGGCCAACCCGGAAGTTAGCATCACAGTTAGCATGTTCACTTTTCTCTGTAGTATTTTCCCATTGGCTTTTGGATTATTGCAGAAAATAAGCTCTGTGACCATCTTTAGAAATGAACACAACTTTTATGAATTCTAAAAAGTTAAACGTACTGTAGGCTATAAACGAACTACACCGTCACATAACTTAAACATCACCACCATTAAATTTCTGACAAACATTTCAGTCCTAATTTTTTTTAAAACACAACGGGGTGTTAGTGATATCTTTTAAGTTGTAGAATAAAATGTGAAAATATATTGAGCTCGACCCATTCATAAAACCCGCTGACTTTTGGATGATGGAACCAGAAGTGCTAAAACTCGTTTCCGGGTTTTTGGCCTACAAAAAATACATCATCCCTGCAGCCCTCTATCAACACATCAGCAAAGAGTTTCAAAACACGGTGAATTATGGACTGTCGGGTAAAAAGAGTTGTCGAGGTTCTCTGGGAATAAATTCACCTGTTATTGAAGGGCCAACGAGAGACATCATGATCATTTTAATTTCTTCATGTGTTCATTTGAACGCCATCATGAACTCTTTGGTCTTGTATTCCTACAATATGACCTATAAAAACTACATAATGATCTCAATTAGCCACTAGGGGACAGTATTATAGCAAAGTTGGTGTAGGTTATCCTCTGGGATGACCATTGCAGTGAGCTATGAGACAAGTTCACACTGTGGAGTAAATCGATGCCAAGTTCACAAGACCAAGTCAGCACTGCTTCAACAAGCTAGCTTTTCATTTTTCACCTGTTTAATCAACAAAAACAAAAAGAGAGAGAGAAAAAAGTCACTGTGTTTTGTGTCTGTCATCCACTGTCTTCTTGGAGAGTTCTTTTTATCATGTGCTCGCTGCTATCAAGCATTCAGTATTTAAGGGGACAGAGAAAACTCAGGCTGCCGTCTCTTATGAGAGGTGTGTGATGTCATTGAATGCGTTATACACTCTGCAGCCTTCATGCTTTTCATTAATGAGTGAATAAATGTGTCGGGTTAAGCTGAAGGTTTTTCTGACTGTAGGATGTGGGAGTTCTCATCCCAACTGTAATTTAGTAAGCTAAAAACCTTCTATCCACTCGGAGGTTTTCGCTGGCTCCTATTCATTGGATGTGAGGTCCAAGCCATGCATTTTTATCTGTACATCTGATTGGCTGTCACGGTTGAGGTCATTGAATGACAAATGTTCGTTCGTTCGTTCGTTGGACTGTCACGAAACCGCGTACTACATTCAACCAAATTCAAGACAAACGGCAAAACCTCAATTAGACACTAACGTACTGGCAGATGAAATAGAGAATTATTTATGGAAATGTTTCTTTTTTTTTGTACAGGTGTTGAAATATGAAAGAAGAACAGTTTTACGATGCTACAATGTTTTTTTTTTTTGAGTTGCTTCACTTTCTTGCCTCCCATGTGCTCGAGCTGTGATCCTGAGAGTGTCTGTAGACCAGTGGATGTTAGGTTTAAACTTCTGTTTATATTTTTTTCTTTTGATGAAGCTTTCAATAAAAAAATCTACAAAATCACGCCAATTTTCGATTCTTGTTGAGCTTTTCTTTTTGTGACTTTTCATGCTGTTTGTTGAAAGAGCCAATATTAAAACCAGTGTTCCTGTACGCAACAATGAGTACAGCGCGAGCTGTGATGTCCGATTCACAAATAAATGACTCTTTTGAACTTTCTTTTAATAAGTCAATCAAAAAGATTCACAAAACAGCCTCAAACTCAACATAAAACCATAAAAATTTACGCTACTTGAAATACAATAAACATTTACTGAAATAAAACATTTTAAAAAAAACTAGTTGCAAATGCAACATTTCTCGTTTTCATTTAGTTTGACTTAATGTACTAAAATAACTCAAACAAAAACTGAAATAAAAATACATAAAAACTATATAAACATATATTTTTTAAAACTACTAATAAAAATGGCAAAAATAACACTAAATTACTAAAACTTTTTTAAAAAATTGAAACAAAAATAGAACATATAAAATAAAAAGTAATTCAAAATATTAATAAAAAACTATAATTATTATCTTAATGATACTAAAATAACACTCCTGACTCCTTCACTGAACCGCGAGTCATTTTTCAGTTATGTCTTAATATGTTGGGTTCTAAAATGAGTATTTATTGACTGGTTGTTCATATGTAATTAAAAGTTTTGTAGTATTTAATTAATAAAGGCATTTAAAAGAAAGAAAAAATATATATATTATGCAAAAATATTATTTGTTATTGATCAGCATTATGCAATTTAATTTATCTCGACTTACTGTTTGAAACTGTAAGCCTGAATCAACATTATTGGTCTCATAAAATATTCTGAACATAATATGATACAAATACAGTCAGGATAACAAAAGTGACAAAAAATTAAAAATACTAAATACAACAAAAAATGCCTTAGTTTAAATAAATGAATGTAAACGTTTCTCCATATTTGCATGTTACTTTTTTTATGAAATAAAATTAAGAAGCAGAGAAAATCCTAATGTCTACGAGTTACAGTACACCGGTCACAGAGTGACAAAAACTATACTCTCTGCAGAGCGTGGACACTCCGGTGGAAAGAATGAGAGGTCACTGAACCCTGCCCTCCTCAATAGGGCCTGTCACTATTTAGGCCTGTCCTCTGCCCTCTCCTTCAAGGCTGATCGATAGAGGGATTGTTCGGACACACAAGTGACTGTTTCAGTCTTGTGCTGACCTTTCATCCTGGCCTCCCCCCACCCCGCAACCCATCTGTCTCCTCCAGTGCATACAATACTCATTTTCATATCTGACATTTAGCTACTGTAAAAGAGGGGGACGGGGACTCGCTTTTTTTGGATCTGGATCAGTTTAGTGCCTCTTCCTACACGCTATGTTTCTTGTTTAGTTTTCTGTAGATGCATTACGCTGTTTGTGTTTCTTGCATGTAGTGGTCACAGCTACTTCCTGTAATTTTGCCATTTGCAGACAATGTGAATTTTATTTCATATTTATTTTTATATATTTAGTATAATATAACAATATTATTATATTCTTTTTTATTTGACCTATATTATATAATAGCTCATTATAATTAAATATACTAAAGATTAAAAGATTATTTAAAGATTATTTTGCTGATATGCTAAATTATCAAATAATCAATGCTAGATTATTTCTGTTATCCTTAAATGCCCAATAACTGACTGATTTTTTTTTAATTTAATAATGATTAATATACATATTTGAATTATATATGAAACTTATTATTATGATTCTCAAGTTCAAGTGAGATTTATTGTCATTCTGCTATACGTGGAGACACTGAAAGGAATGAAATGTCGTGTATCACAGGACCACGGTGCTACATAAACATAAACATACAAACATAAAACAAGAAAACATATAGCTAACCCATATAAATCTACATATAACTATATGACATATAACTTATATAAACATATATCCTGCTTTATAAAACTACATAACCTGTAGAAACCTATCCTATTGAAAGAAGAAATCTGACATATACTTTACATAAAAACTTATGTATGATTTACACATGAAGCAGTTATACAGGAGACATTTAGGACAAAAACGGTGCAAACAGGGATAGTGCAAGATAAAAGAAAAATTCAAGTGTCCAGTGCACATATAAGGAGAAACGAGAGTATTGCCGAAGATGGACTCATTAGCCTATGCATAGCCTAGTCTAGCTCGTATAGTATTGCACATAAGAATTGTAAAGAAATTTTGAAGTGAACAGTTATTGGGGAACAATCGCAGCAAGAGGTTAAGTGTGTGGCATAGGGTGGGAGTGGGAGGGGGGTGTTGACATGTTCCATGTTCCTGGTTCAGGATGTATAGGGGTGATTGGGCACTCACGGCCTGGGTGAAGAAGCCGTTGAGCAGACTGACAGAGCGGGCTCTGATGCTCCGGTATGGGTGGGGTCCTTCACAATAGTAGTGGCTTTGCTGGAGCATCTGGCATGGAAAATGTCCAGGGTCGAGGGAAAAGGGATACCGATGATCTTTGCAGCTGTGTTCACTATCCGCTGTAGGGTCTTGCAGTCTACAACGCTGCAGTTCTCACACCTGGCAGTGATGCAGCTGGTCAGCACATTCTGAAGGGTGTCCCTGTAGAATGCGGTGAGGATGGGTTGAGGGAGACGTGCTCTTTTCAGCTGGCGCAGGAGTGGAGGCGCTGCTGGGCCTTCTTGGAGAGGGATGTAGTGTTGGTGGTCCAGGTGAGATCTGTGATGTGCTCCCACAGGAATTCAGTGCTGCAGACTCTCTCCACTGCGGTGGTCGGGAGAGCTCAATGCGCGCCTGCGACTGAAGAAAACACGTGCAAATAGAAAAAAACACCAGCCAGTTAAGAAAACATCTTCATCAGTTTGAAAACACGTGTGCTGCAAATATTCACAACGCAACAGCGTTGAGTATTTGCAGAGTGTTTCTGTATTTGGTTGCGTTGTGAATATTTGCAACTCATGGGTTGTCAACGTGTTATTTGCATGCGTTTTCTTCAGTTGCAGCGCGTTGAGCTCTCTCGGCCACCGTACGCCACAGTTGAGCTTTCAATGGTCAGTGGCAGGAGCTCAACAGAGTTTCTCCTTTCGTTCATCACAACCTCCTTTGTCTTCCCCACATTGAGGGGGACAGGTTGTTTGCCGCACACCATTCAACCAGTTGTCACTACTTCCTCTCTGTAGAGTGTCTTATTGTTGTTGTTGTTGTTGTTGTTGTTGAACTTAAGCTTGATGTGGTTGGAGCTGAAGTTGGCAGTGCAGTTGTGAATGTGAAGAGCAGCGGACTGAGCACTCGACCTTGTGGGGCACCTGTGCCAAAGACTTGAGATATACAAAGACTGT